TTCCTGATCCCGTCAGCTTTCACAAGGAAGCCATGACACTGACAGCTCAGGCAAATGCTGAAGAGACAGCCAAAACTGTCCACTCATTTTTTTCTTCACCAAAAAAAAAAAAAAAAAAAACCTGATAAAGTATTGATGACTTTGCCAAGCCTGGTGTGTTTGAAATATTTCCTGGGTTTTCAAGCATGTTTGGACCCTGAAAATTTGCATTGTACTGTTGGCAAACAGTACATTGCCACGGCAACAGCGTTTGACTTCATTTCACATCATGAAGGTCTAAACCAGGGGTGCCCATTACGTCGATCCTGATCGACCGGTAGATCTAGGACAGGTCCCAAGTGTATCCAAGGGGTGTAGAGGAGAAGAAAAAAAAAAACATTTGTGTGTCTTTGTACATGTTAGTAATATATTTTTTGTGTTAATGTACGCTGCACCCTAATCATCCTATCAGTCCCATTTTCACAAAAAAATATTTTAAAAATAAAATAAAATAAAGCAGGTAAATCATTAACCTATGTTGGCGCGCGATCAACGTCACCGGAAGTTGTTTGCGCTCAGCAATCTACAATTGCAGCTTGTGATCGGAGCTGTTGCGCTACATCTTTTATCGTCTTTATTCTCATTCAGAGTTTGCTTCGTGTACAATTCACCGAGGGCACGGGCAAAGAATAGGAATCTAGAGGGCCCAGGGAAGCACTTTAAAATGGTACGTGTGAGCTATCTAGATAGTTCACAAGCTGCAAAGGTGCATTGTATGCCTCCGTGTCAGGCTGTTGCTCATCATGGCGTGGGTGCGCGTGCGCGGTAAGGGGTGATTCCGGGAGGTTGGTCGAAAAGTCGATCTGAGGTCCAAAAAGTTTGGGCACCCCTGGTCTAAACACTCTTCCCAGGAAATATAAGGTACATCTGGTTAACCCTCAAGGAGAGAAACGGCCAAGGATAAAACATTTCCTTCATTCAGTAGGTGGTGCTCCAAATACAATGAAAAATATGTTTGCATTTCTTCAGGCCTGGACTCACATACTTTGACACTTGACAGGTGCGTCACACCTGAATTGATGGGATGAGTTTTTCCATCTTAATGAGGCTCAGCCCGCAATTGCAAGCTCGTGAGTAGAGCGGTGGACGTGGACGGTGCAAAATGGAGCCACCCCTTCACAGCATTCCTGACCATCCCATCTTGGCCAGCCTGGTTCCCAGAATTTTGCACTTGTCAGCCTGATAAATGAACCTTGGAAGGGTGAATGAGGTGCAAAATATTCATATGTTGTGAGAGCTTTAAAGGAGGCTCTAAAATTCAGTGATAGGTGGTGAGTTTTGGATCTGGACCTTCAATGGGTATCTGGTGATCTAATTCACCTCTTAATAACGCCATAACATCGTAATATGTACCCCTCCCCTCCAAAAAAATGGCTCAGTTCATGCTGCAGAGTGTGTTACTAAAAACACCTTTGAAGATTCACAGACAATTGTCTGTATAGTCTCCCTTACAAGTCCTCTGACCCGCCGATGTGTAGCATGAAAAAAAATGGCATTTCACGAATTTGAATATATTATCCAAAGAAAAATTATCTTCCATGACATGACCTCAAGAACTCCAAACCTCTATCGTACAATATGGCACTTAACAATAACTATTTATCGATATCCATCCATCCACCATTTTCAGATCCACTTTTTCCTCACAAGGGCCGCCGGGGGATGCTGGAGCCTGTCCTAGCTGTCTTTGGGCAGTAGGCGGGGGGCACCCTGAACCGGTTGCCAGCCAATCGCAAGGCACACAGAGACAATTTAGGGACAATTTAGAGTGTTCCATTAACCTGCCATGCATGTTTTTGGAATGCGGGAGTGCCCAGAGGAAACCCAAGCATGCACAGAGAGAACATGCAAACTCCACACAGGGAGGCCGGAGCCGGAATCGAACCCTGCATCTGTGCACTGTAAGGTTGACGCGGTAACCACTGGACCGCCGGTTTTATCAATATGTAAATTAAATATATAAATAACACTGTCATCATCAGCGATGCTCATGCAGAAGCTCCTCTGTATTTCTGTGGGCTGAATTTTGTACTCATATACAACCTCTCTAAAATTGACCTACACTGAACTCTCTAGACGCCCAGCGTCCGTGCGTTCGACGCTCAGCGTCCACACAGTTTAAAGCACAGTGAAGCTGCGAGAATGAATGAGAAGAGAGTCGCGTCGTAACCAGTAATAAGAAGCTGATTCGGAACACAAGTTGAGCGCGTTGTGGCACATATTTAGTCAATGATATGTACACACAATTGTACATACACACATATATTTGATCACTTACTTTTTGACATTTTAGAGGAAGCTGAGCTTCCCTTGCAGTCTTAGAGCAATCGCCTCTGCATTGTATACACAGTTCAGTTTTGTATAATAACTGTAAAAAATAAAGCTGACTATCAAATACCAAGTACAATTTGTACTATTGTCAAATGTGCTGTATGTGAGCACATTTGAAATTGCGTTCCTCTCACATTTTTTGGCTTTTTTTAATAAATCCTACTTCACGGATTTCACTTATCACTGGTTCTTTTTGGAACGTAACCCCCGCGATAAATGAGGGATTACTGTATATCAAAACACCATGTGTTTTCTTTTTTTGGAGAGGTATCTGAAAAATTCAATGACGTGTATGTAAAACAACAGCAATATGGAGGGATGCTCATACCTAGTAAATGGTGTATATTCGCCACATTGATCACCAGCTTTGAAGTGGGCTGAGCTATCCCTGTGCTGTGCGCTGTCAATTCCCATCCTCTCAATTACAATAATAAGGAATTTTTTTATGGCTTTTCAAATCTTATCAAAAACATGCTGAAGTATTGATCATATGCTCTTCAGGAGGGCTTTCAATATTCATGTGTGTTGTCCTGTCAAGCCATTGGCGAAGGACTTTTTAAGCCTTTAACCCAGGGGTGGTCAAACTTTTTTGACCCAAGATCTACTTTTCGATCAACCAACCTCCCGCGATCGACCTGTTGCCGTGCACACGCATGCCATGAAGAGCAACAGCTGTCCGCGGAGACATGCAACGCACTTTTGCAGCCTGTTAACGATCGTAGCTCACGAGTACCGTTTTAAAATGCTTTTCTTGGTCCTCCAGATTGCCATTCTTTGCCAGTGCCCTCTGTGAATTGTACATGAAACAAACTCTGAATGAGAATAATGATAACGATAAAAGATATTGCGCAACAGCTCTGATCACAAGCTGCAATTGCAGACTGCTGAGTGCTAACAACTTTCGGTGACGCAGGTCACAGGCCACCGTAGGTTAAAGATGACCTGCTATATTTTATTTAACTTTTTCAATACTTTTTATGAAAGTGAGACTGATAGGATGATTAGGGTGCAGTTTGCATTAACACAAAAAATATATTACTAACATGTACAGAGACATACAAATGTTTTTTCTTTTTTTCTCCTCTACACCCCTCGCGATCGATTGGGACCAGTCCGCGAGGCACCGGTCGACCGCGATCGACGTAATGGCCACCTCTCCTTTAACCCCTTTAAAGCAGTGTGTGACTTTCTTAACACGTACTGTAAACAAAGACATACTTTATACCAAGGTATACATTATCTTGCATATGTTCTACCAGTGTCAAATTTGAGTCTTGGACAATATGATTTCTGATCATATGGATGTATTCTTTGATAATTACTTTTCCTACACTGCTGTTTTAATCTGCTGCTCCTGAGTGGAGCTGGAGGATTTTTTTAACCTCCTGCTGCTGCCTTTGATGATCTATGCGTTCCATTTTAAAACACAGAGGAACTTAGATCTTGGTTCCACTTATGCTGCTCTACTATACTGGATTTAGTGGCTCCATTAAAAAAAAAAAAAAAAATGTGCGGGTACTCGTGGTAGTGCTCTCGAGGGGTTTATATACTGATGGGCTGACACAACCTTTTGTGTTAGCCTTAGTTTCTACGAGTCCCGCTCTGCTTCTCTGTTTTATGATGTTCCACAGGTTTCCATTTTGGGGCCCTTGCTGTTTTCATTACATTTGCTGTTCCTGGGTTTCATCTCAAGAAGCATGGTATTTCCTTTGACTGTGATGCAGATAGATGACAGTCATATCTGTTGTCAAGCCCATAAATATTTGGACATATAGACGCTAGTGCAGGTACTGAGAGTTCAACAGAGGTTCAGAGGGGATTGAGCCTTTTCGGTTTGCTTGTCCCTCCCCTTGGAATGACCTAACATTAAATGTTCAGCAAGCCCCTTCTCTGTCCATTTTTAAAACTCATAAAAACTCTGAAAACACATGTCTAGTCGATGGCTTTTGACTCATAATGAGACACTGCATTATTTTAGTGTTTTGGGGGGTTTTGCTCTATTTGTGTAATTGTTTTCTTCTTTTTAACTGTCTTTGTGTTTGTTTGACTGATTTTTGTTTCCATGTTCAGTACGTTCTTTGCAGAAATCGTGCTTTAAAATGTGAATTGTAAGATGAATGGGATGTTCAAGGTTGTTTTTTTCAGTTGAGGCGGAATCACAATTTTTGGCATGTTTCATCTGCTGAGAGGTCAAACTTACTCAGTTTTTAAAGGATTAAAAATCTCATATGATGTCCTTCCCTGCTGTTGGAATGTACTTTTCAGTGGTCTTTCAACAGTTGCCAACAGTTTGGGGTCACCATCTTTTTCCCTCGGTACTGGTTGCTCTGGACTTTTGAAACATTGAGATACGAAACAAAAGCTCTAAACATATTTTTCTCAAAACTAGGGGTTTCAATTACTGTCACAATTTTTGTGACAGCAATTACAATAAGGAAATTAAATATAGAATTTAAAAAATGAAGATCTCAATCTGTATTTTTCGACCCATGAGGAACTTTTAGCCAGAGCAGGGTTCCTATTGGTTTCTTGTTTTGATCACGCGTATCGTTCAAAAATCGGTTGTCTTTTACACATTATCCATCAATATGTACCCATTGTATTAATTGACTTCCATCTTTCTCCTCTAGGTTCTCCGTAAATTCCGAGCTCATGAAACCAACCTGCTGATTGCCACGAGCATTGTGGAGGAAGGTGTGGACATTCCCAAGTGTAACTTGGTGGTGCGGTTTGACTTGCCAACTGAATACAGATCATATGTCCAGTCCAAAGGCAGAGCTCGAGCTCCTGTCTCCAACTATGTTATGTTGGCTGATAGTGACAAGACCAAATGCTTTGAAAATGACCTCGGCACCTACAAGGCGATAGAAAAGGTCAGATATTCTCTCTCTCTCTCTCTCTCTCTCTCTCTCTCTCCCCACACATTATATATCTCTCTCTCCCCACACACACACACACACACACACATATATATATATATATATATATATATATGCTCACCTCCTTCGTTCCCTCTCTCCTTCTCAAAAAAGAATGAAAAGCAGAATCACGATGCTGTGAACGCTTTGAGACGCAGAGTGACTTTGCCATTTGCGACTCTGCTGAGTGAGTGTAGAACCCGCATTCGGCAATCTGCCAACTTGTGCCTCGCACTCTAACTGAACTGGAAAATAAGTCTCTCTTGCGCGCACACAGACACACACACGCACCAGGTACCACACATAAAAGCAAAGACCTTTCCGTCAACTCCGCCACCGACATTAAATGCAGCATTTTCGCAAAAGTGAGCACGCTTTCTGGCATAATTACTTCTTACAAATTTCCACGCCAGAAAAAAAAAAAATAAAAAATTATATATGCCTGCTACAGCTCTACCTCCCACGATGCATGTGGATAAATGAACCAATCACAGGGAACAAGTCCTCCCACAGCTTCAGAGAAATGAGCATTATTATCCTGCCCCCACATTGTCTGTGTCTGCAAGTCTGCGTGCGCCCGTCCATGCATGCTTGGGATCGATGAGACAACACGGGCCTAGCAGCGCTTCCTGTGCGCCGGAGGGGTGGGGCGTGGGAGGGGGACAGGGGGGGTGCAGTGGCCCGAGTCAGCCTTCATTCTCGCTGTCCTGTCAAGCAGGAAAACAAGGGAGAATTAAAGGTCAAATGCATCCCTGTGGTGGGTGAGTGTGTGATGAAGTTGCCTATGTTCCATAACTTTAGCTTTACAACACTTCAGATCGAATACATTAAAGGCAGAACAAAACGCCAACTAAAAGTTTTGGAAGTTAATGGGGAAAAAAAAAAATTATTGCACAAAAACTTCAGCATCGCCTCGTGAGACTTCAGGTACCAGAAGTGACAATGAGGGAAAGCGCGATCAGACTTGATGTAGCTCTTGAACAACTTGTAAGTTGGGGCACTTGTATCTCAAGGCATCACTCAACTTTAGATATACTGTACTTTCAGTGTGTTCCTTTGTTAACTTTGTGGAAAAAAAACCCCAAAAAATTGCTTTAAATTTTAATTACAAGATAAGGACATTTTAACAGCTCCCTGACACATTATTATCACTTGAAAGACACTGATTCCACTTAATGCTGCTAATTCCGCTGTCAGCTTTAAGGGAGGGGGAAAAAAAAATTTAATCCTTCACTCACATTCCATGTGTTTTGTATGCGTGTGTGTGTGTGTGTGTGTGTGTGTGTGTATACATATACACACACGCACACATATACAGGCATATGGTATTGATCCTCTGCGAAGAATATCTATATCTAGATAGATAGATAGATAGATATACATATATATACACACACACACACACACACACACACACACATTCACTGCATGCACAATTATTTGGAAGGTGTGTGTGTGCGTGTGTTCCCTTTAAAAGTGTTAGAATTGCATGGTCAATTCTTTTGTTTGTTGTGTGCACTGAAGATATTTGGGTTTCAGATCAAAAGATAAATATACAACAGAAGTTCAGAAGTCCATCTATTTGTGTATTTACATCTAGATGTGTTGAACAACTCACAACAGAGCACCTTTTGTTTGAAATCATGCAAGTGAGCAAAAATATTGGAATGAGGGCTGAATGATCATGACAGGGTGGCCAACCAGTCAGACTAAGAGCCAATTTTTTTACCGTGTTACTGCAAAGAGCCACATCAGACACATGGGCATCTTTTACTCGCACGCGCACACACATGCACACATGCACACACGCACAAGCACACGCACACACGCACACGCACACGCCCACACACACACACAACACACACACACATACACACACACACACACACACACACACACACACACACACACACAAACACATACACATGCACACACACACACACACACACACACACGCATGCATGCATGCTCATGGGTGCCCAACCATGCACTCGCGCACATATCAGTGTGCTTCTGCAATTAAAAAAAAAATTGGGGGAGGCTTTTAACAAATCTGAACCGGGTGTGCCAATTATGGAGGGCACTATTTGTCTATGAACGGCCAGCGGGGCGCAGCACTACCTCACTTGCCTAACCTGACCGCACATCTCATACTGAGCACTTAGCCCCTAGGAAGATTTGGCCACGCAAACCTCCCCCCCGCAATGAAGCTACTGCTCGAGAAGGGGGAGACGAGAGTCTTCTTTCCCTTTCAGCTTTACCCTTGACATTGTGAATTGTCTTTCATCTCTCCCTCTCCTCTACATTTTCTGCTTTAACTTCTGCTATCTGCAAGTCTTCCGTAACCACATCTTTAACAAAAAAAAAATATCACACATCCTTAAATAAAATGAACAAATAAAAAATGAAATTACAATTAAAAATAAATAAATAATTTTAAAAGGTGGGAGTAGAATGATGATGATTATGTTTCTTCCGAGCAGATCTTGAGGAACAAGTGCTCCAAATCTGTGGAGGTTGGTGAGTTTGAAGGAGAGCAGGTGTTGGATGATGACAACATCCTTCCTCCATATGTGCTTCAGTCTGAGGATGGAGGTCCCCGGGTCACCATCAATACTGCCATTGGTCACATTAACAGGTATGCTTCATCTGTGGTTGCATTGTTTCCAAAAATGAACCCATGCAAACAGCCATTTTGAAAAATAAATTGTTTTGTTGAAATGGCTCAGGTACTGTGCTCGCCTGCCCAGTGACCCCTTTACTCACTTGGCTCCCAAGTGTAAAACAGTTGAAACGCAGGATGGAAAATTCCAGTCTACACTTGCTTTACCCATCAACTCCCCTCTGAGAGTGCCTGTTAAGGTATGGAATAAACTATAACATCCCTAAACAAGTGTTGTAGCAAGCAAATAATTTTTTCAGACATTCTTCTTCACAGGGTCCAAAAATGAATTGTGCCAGATTGGCAGAGAAAGCAGTTGCACTACTTTGTTGTGAGAAACTCCATCGAATAGGTACAGTATGGAAACCATAGTCCTCCTTTGTTATCAGCACTTGTTATTCCCTTATTTTATGCTTTACAACCGACTTTCCAAGGTGAGCTCGATGATCATTTGATGCCAGTCGGGAAGGAAACCGTAAAGTATGAGGAAGAGCTGGACCTTCACGATGAGGAGGAAACCAGCGTTCCTGGCCGGCCTGGCTCGACAAAGAGGCGACAGTGCTACCCAAAAGCTGTGAGGGAATTATTAGGATGAACTAGAGTTTGAAAATAATTCATTTTCCATATGTATCGCGGTAATCACTTGATCGATATCAATAGAAATGTTCGTTAGGAAAAAATTACGGAAGCAAACCTAAACCCCTTCATCATGTAGAGAGAGGCTACAGTGTGATTTATGTGACAATTATGAGCACAAAAGAGGAAATTTGGAGCACAAAAGTGATTTATTTGTCCACAGAACCAGCGAGGTGTGCGCACGCACTAGTGGGTGACATATGAACGCTCAATGAACGTGCAGCTTAACTTAAAATAAATAACAGTTGCCTCCAACTCTTTTTATACTGTGCAAACTAACCCAATAAACCATCTCTGGATGGATACAGGTACGTAGTGTAGAAAAAATGGATGTGCAAACTCCGACGTTAGCCAGCTTCAACTCTCAGGCTCGCATTTCATAGGCAAGTAAGTGTGAAGGCTGAGGTAACTCCCATGTAATAAATCCGATTTATGTGGTTCCAATTTCACCCTACTCCAAATATTCACGCCTTCCAGCATACAAATTTTTCTCATTCCTCATACTTGCCATTTTTCCCAATTTCATGTTTTACATTAAAAATGTCCCCATTTATTTCCAATGGTACAGATATTATGCTTTCAATTTCAGCATCCCACACCCTACAACTGAACATTCCTTCACATATTACCTGTATGTTATTTTGGCTTTAGGATTGCTTCCGAGGGCCAATTTCAAAATAAAAACTCCCGACATCAGACGACAAAAATGTAGCCCGTATTTGAACCGACAGACATGTTGCAGACAAATTTAGTGTCTCATAGCATCGTATCATGTGCAGTGTGATATACTCAACGATTGATCATCTCGAGCATAAAATTCCATAAATTCCAAATTCCATAAAATGTGTTAGTGGTTCACTAGTTTGTGAGGGGAAGTGGTGATTGTTACATGATTTGGCATGACATTGACAATTCTTTGTCCCTTCTTTATGGTCTTCAGATCCCCGAGTGTCTGCAGGACAGTTTTGCTACCCCCCAGCATACTTACTACCTATATGTCATTGGGATGGTTCTCACCACGCCACTCCCGGATGAGCTCAACTTCCGCCGAAGGAAGCTCTACCCACCAGAGGACAGCACCCGGTGTTTCGGCATCCTGACAGCTAAACCTATACCGCAAGTATGTTAGAATTTAATGCCTCTCTGCTTTGTTTTTAGGGCCAAAGCAGGCGACCACTGCAAAATCTCAGTTGTTTTTGTAGAAATGATTAGGGTCCATGTTCCATGTTGGGCTCGCTGTAAAAAAAAAAAAAAAAAAAAAAATCATTGCTTTTAAATTGCCAGTTTTAAAGCATTGCTACTGGCAACAAAAATAAGTAATTAGACATTTTATGAACCTGTGTTTTTCATTTATTTCAAACATTTTTTTATTCAACGGCACAACAAATGTAGAACAATACAAAGTAGTACAGGTGGACTACCAAATAAGGACCCCTGAGGAATAATGAATACACCTTAAAATGTCAACATAACTCCAGCTGCAAGCAGCTATGAAGGCCTAGTGAGTAGTTGTGTATTTTTAGGGATGCAAAAACAACTTGTTTTCTATTCACAGAGATGAAAGTCCTCCGGATTTTCCCGGAATTCCGGGTTTTTCAAATTTTTATGAAAATTTCTCCGGAGAATTGAGGAAAATTTGCATAAAATTAATCCGGATATTAGTTGACAACATTGAACGAAGACGCGTTTGAGTTCGTTGTATTGCTTTCACGAGCGTAGCCATATTGAGGCACTAACACTAGTAACAGTAAAGAGATTTTTGTTTATGTAATAACGACAGAAGACATGATGGCGTTTGACTAATGGTTTAGTAGAACGAATGGCAACTCGCAACAACAGTAGCAAGCGTCATTTTGCCTCTTGGGTTATACCATCTCAACTAGAACGTGGGGGTTAGTCCCCAAACATTTTTCGTCTCTTTATAAACACACCTGCTAAACCCCAGTGGAACGAATAAAAGATGCCGTGGACAAGAAAGTTGTCGTAAAAAATGTATTTGGCCAAAAAGCGAAAAACACAGATTGGCAGAAAATCGTGTCCGTCTGACTTCGAGTGTCGTCTCGGCTAACTTAGCTTAACTGTTGTCGTGTGGGACGTCATTTGCGTCGGCGCTGATTGGTTGAAATCAAAGACGCGCTTGCGTACATGTTCGCGCTGAAGCACGCACAGCAGAGAGCAGCAGACTATCTACTGCTGAGGCTCGCTTAGCTTGAGTGG